AAAACAAGCAACAGTGATGCCTCTGCAATGCTAAGGAAGGGTCTGGAAGGGCTCACCTTCCAGTATAGTGGCTGAGAGGTGAACAGAGTCTACATCACATAGAGAATGAGGTCAAGAGCTATTGGAAGACCTGCACCAACAGTTAGTAAAGAGACCAACTATAACTTCAGAATTTGAGGTGAGGACTGCATTGTTTATCCTTCTTGTTAGAAAAGAATCATTGGAGAAATGGATAGTCAAGGTAGGTGAGAGGACATCATGACTTCAACTTTCTGAAATCCATTTTACTTAGATTTAGCCCAGGTACTTGCATTTCACTTTTGAGGAAAAAGATTAAATCTGGAAGGCAATTCAAAGAGGTGTGCTGTATATTGTGTCCTCCCTGGGTTTGGTGGGTGGGAGATATGAAAATAGAGGTGGCCCTGGCCCCTGTTGTTGAAGATATTTGTGAACAAGAAGTCAACAGACCACCCCACAAAGCAAGGCACAGATACCATCACCTTGAACAGGAAAACCTTTACCTGTGGCTGAAATGGGATCAGTGGGATCTTTATCTGAAGTTATTTAAGTTGTGCTGTTTTAAAATTTTGCAATTTGGCTGCAGAAACTTTTCTATTGTCACTTTTATATTTATAGAAAATTGAAATAAAGGGACATTCTGTATAAAGAATATACAGGGGTGGACAAAAGTATGTTTACAGCTGTTCATATAGAATATAATACAATCATCTAGCTACACTAATAATAGACAAATATGTAAATCGACCATACCTCTGTGACACCCCACAGCCAATCAGGAGGGAATATGCAAATTAGCAGGACAAAGATGGCTGCAGCCACAAGCCATCAGGAGGCTTGGGTCACCCCAGCAATGGAGGAAGCCAAGCTTCCCGCCTGCCTGGGCTGGCCACCAAAGGAGGGGCCTGTGGGCGGCGGCCACGGAGCTGGCCAGAGCAAGTGGAAGGCTTGGGTTGCCCTGGCCAGGTGCTGAGGGAGGGGCCTGAAAATGGCCCTCAGCCACTCACCCAGGCTGGCCATGCCACCATCAGGGTGAGGGTCCCCAATGGGGGGCATGGCCAGCCTGAAAACAGCTCTCATCCCCTCACCCAGGCTGGCCAGGCACCCCAGTGGGGACCCCCACCTTGAAGGGGGTGTGGCCAGCCTGAAAACAGCCCTCAGCACCTCACCCAGGCTGGCCAGTGGGGACCCTCAGCCCATGGGCGTGTGGCTGGCCAATGCCCCGGAAAGTGGGCCTAAGCCCACAGGTGGTCATCCCCCGAGGGGCCCCAGACTGCGAGAGGGCACAGGCCGGGCTGAGGGACCCTCCCCCCCACCCCCCGCCGAGTGCACAAATTTTTGTGCACCGGGCCTCTAGTCTAGAATTAAGATTGGAAATTGTGTGTCAGGACAGAGAAGCCATGGTAAGGGCTAAGGAAGAAATGGTAACTTTTATGGCACAAGTAGAAAACTTAAAGGTGTTTGTAGTAATAGATACAGCAAGATTTATTCTCTGCCCAGAAATATACACACAAGACAAATTCCTGATGAGGGAGGTCTCCTGAAGGGCATGGTGCTAAATGTCAACTTTATATTAATTGTCACCACAAGGCACTCCCAGGTCCACAGTATCTTTCAGGCACACAGTTGGTGAATGTGCTTGGAAAGATCTCTGATTGAGATCTATGTATTGGTATACAAATTAGCATTTACTTTCTTCTAAAAATAGGAAGAAGACATTTTAAACAGGAAAAACAAAACAAAACAAAAAAACCTAGAAGAAAATTTTGGAAGAAGCAATGCCCCTCTTCTTTTTTAAAAAAAAATAGATTCTTTTTCTGGCTTTTTGAGACCATGCAAATGAACTAATTAGATGTATTAACATCCATTCCTGTTTTACACTAATTATATTTGTATTTTTATATAAAATTACCTTTAAAAATAAGCATAGCTCAGCGGTGCTCTGGGCAGAGGTGTGGCACATCCAAGCGTGAGAACGCAATCTGTCTTCCGTGCATTTCTGCAGAAAAGCAGGATGGCCTCTGGCTGCTCCAGGGCCCTTTTCTGAAGAGTGTTTCTCTACCTTCCTTTTTAAAGGATGTTTTGGCAGGTTCACATTTCCGGCTGAGTGGTTCTGCTACCACGGTTCCCATCCAGGATTTGTTATCGAGTTCTGCTGTCTTACTCATCAGAACCAGGGTATTTTATGAGACTTATATTTGTCACTTTATGTTTTAGGAGTTCAGAATGGTATCAGATGAATAAATCTTTTCTAAAAGAAAAATAATACTTTTTTTTTTTTTGTCTCACCTACTGAGAAGAGAAACTACTTCCATGTTCTTTTCTTTAAGGAACTTGAACATCAATTTCTCATGCCGTTTACCTGATATGACCTACAGGGTTACATGATAGCACAGTGCCTGTCCAAAGGCAGTGCATATCTACACTAATAAAAGAGAAACATGGTAATTGGCGTACGACCGCTACCCTTCCCATTGGCTAATCAGCATATCCTTATGCAAATTAACTGTCAGCCAAGATGGCGGCCGGCAGCCAGGCAGCTGGAAGCGAACATGAGGCTTCCTTGCTTCAGTGACTGCAGACTCCAACGTTGCCGGCCTCTGAGTTGCAACTCTAAGCAACAATGTACTATGTTGCAAATAAGAAGCTAAACAAAACCCTAGAAACCAGCTTTCAGCCTGCCGGGATCTCAGAGCTGAAGTTATACATTGTTTCGATTATAGAATGGCAAACAAACCAGATACGAAGCCTCAGAGCTAGAGCCAGAGCTAAAGCTGGCCCAGAATAAAATAAAAAAAGAGAAAAAAAAGGAGCGGTTGGGAGCTTCAGTCAACAACCGCCAGCCTGAAAGCAGCCCTCAGCCCCTCACCCAGACTGGCCAGGCACCCCAGTGGGGACCCCCACCCTGAAGGGGGTGTGACCAGCGGCAAACAGCAATCATCCCCTCATCCAGGCTGGCCAGGCACCCCAGTGGGGACCCCCACCCTGAAGGGGGTGTGACCAGCTGCAAACAGCCATCATCCCCTCATCCAGGCTGGCCAGGCACCCCAGTGGGGACCCCCACCCTGATCCAGGACACCCTTCAGGGCAAACCAGCCAGCCCCTACCCATGCACCAGGCCTCTATCCTATATAGTAAAAGGGTAATATGCCTCCCAGCACCGGGATCAGCGGAGCAGCGAGGCTCCCGGCACCGGGATCAGCATGACAGGGGGCAGCGCCCAAACCCCCTGATCGCCCTGCAGCTCTGTGTGTGACAGGGGAAGGCGCC